AGAGGGCTGGGACAATTTCTCCGTTGCCAATCGGGGGAGACGCTTTGTGCACCTTCCGGTAAAGTTCATGGAGAAACGACAGCGCACCAAGGCATGATCAGAGTCGACACAGGTACTCCAGTACGAGCGGCAATCCAGAATGGAACCACGCCACCTGTAACTTATGGCTATGTGGTCAATTTGGGTCCATCGCTGACCAGCTACAGGTGGACGCCAAGTGGCACTTCGGCGCCCACTGTGCCTAAAAGCAGTGCTACTAAGAAACAACTGGTGCTCCGCACACAGTTGCAGCAGACGCTCGCCGTTGTCAGTCCGTTCGGCGTTAAGTCCATAATTACCACCCAGCTGAGCTTCTGAAGAGCTCAGACGCCCTACTTGTGCGTTCATATCCCCTGCAAGTACTATAATATCTGAACTAGTAGCACTGCGTGGCAGCGTGTTCAGTTCGTGATAGAAAGTGTCCTTGACTGCATTAGAACTGCAGTCGGTGGGAGCATAAGCAGAAATCACAAACAAACAGCGTTTTGTTTTACTTCGCGAATTCACCTTAGCTGATGTCGTCATACGGGCTGCACATAAACGGCTGTTCATCGGAATCCAATCAACCAACGATGACTCAGCCTTGGAGCTGAGAATGATACCTACACCAGCTTGACCCGTGAGTGCCGCATCGGCGTCTTCGGATGTGTGCAACCAATAACGAGAGGATAAGCCGGGTGCAGTCAATTCAATAACCCCGTTAGGGCCACTGATCCTAGTTTCGGACACACAACACACATCAACACCCAGTGTGTCTAAGGTGCGTGCGAGTACAGCCTGCTGACCTGTTTGTCTTAGAGTGCGAACGTTGAACGTCGCCATGGAAACGGGACAGCGTGGCCTTATAAGGAACTTTTGCCGATAGGCGTCCGATAGGTGCTGTGGGATGGTGGCTGCGAATGGTACTACTCCAGTAGCACTTCGGTTGCTGTCAATTAAGCTGGGAATTATAGAAGGAAGGTTAGTAATGGGGGCCGGGATGGGAGTAAGAGAAAAAGGTGGAAAAGAAAGAAGGGAGGCGCCAGCAGTAGCATGCTTTCGCTTATCCGCCCTGCTGTATGCAGCAGATAAGGCGACCCTTGATAATCTGCGCGACGGCCGATGCAGGATGAAGTTAATGTTTGCTTGTCTTTCCAGTGTGCTCTTATCAGGTCTTACCAATCTACTACCAGTTGGTATCCGAACATTTGGGCCATGGACTTCCAAGCGATGCGGGATAAAGCTAGGTCATCGCCTTGTGTGATATCTGAGACCGACACTGTTCACATAACGTGGGAAAACGTTAAGGCTCACCTCGTAGACATTTCAGCACCTCACATCCCACTGGTAAAAGGAAGGGAATCGAGAGCGCAGCCTCCGTGGGTAGATTCCGCGGGGAAGGACCTGCTAAAGAAGCGGTCTAGATGCTGGCGAGCATACCGAACAGCTCCGTCGAACAGCACGTTTGACAAGTATCGGTTGGTTCGAAATGAGTGCGCTACATCTTAGGTTGGCCCGGCTTCAGTATGAAAAGGGCTTAGCTAATACTGTCTCGAAAAATCCCAAAAAATTCTTCGCTTACGTTAAACGACGCTATGGTGCAAACTCGCCCATACCACCATTACTTCGAGGAGACGGGACCCATGCCTATAGCGACTATGACAAGGCATGCTTGCTTGGTAAGCAGTACTCAAGCGTCTTTGTCCGCGAAACAAGTACGCCATGCAAAGAGTTAGCTTCAAGAGCCTCTGAGGACTGTTGTCTGGATGAAATTCCTGTAACTGAGTCCCAAGTTCTCCGGTTACTAAGAGAGGTAAACCCAACTAAGGCTTCCGGGCCAGATTCTGTTCATCCAAAATTGTTACACGAATTGGCAGTGGAACTCAGTGGACCTCTGACTTGTGTATTTCAGAAGTCACTCAACAGCTGTATCTTGCCTACTGAATGGAAGGAGGTTGTTGTCTGCCCGATTTTCAAGTGTGGTGACAGACCTACCGGTTACTTACAGGCCTATCAGCTTGACTAGCGTGGTCGTTAAGTTACTTGAAAAATTAGTACGAGATACAGCGAAGACGCATTTAAATAGGTTTAACCTGTTTTGCGTCGAGCTACATGGTTTTCGCAATGGATTCTCGTGTCAGACGAACTTGCTGGTAGCTCGAGAGTGCTGGGCTGAAGCCGTAGACAGTGGACATGCGGTGGATGTGGTGTTAATTGACTTCGCCAAGGCCTTTGACACTGTCCCTCATTCGCGACTCTCACTGAAGTTCAGGTCGTATGGAATAGATGGTCGCGCTCTCCAGTGGGTATCAGCTTTTCTGGATGGACGGGAACAGTGTATTCGTCTGGGGAGCTGTCTTTCGTTTCGACAAACTGTACTTAGCGGCATTCCGCAAGGCTCTGTCCTAGGTCCGCTGCTTTTTTCTGTCTACGTGAATGACTTTTCGGAGGAGCTTGAGGTACCACCGCTCTTATTTGCTGATGACCTAAAGCTTTGGAATATTGTTGATATCCTTGGAGGTCCTGTGGCTCTTCAACGGGCTTTGGATAGACTGGGAATGGTCTGTCTTGTGGTTGCTGCCCATAAACCGGGCAAAGTGTTCAGTGCTGCGTATCGGAGCGTCTGATCCCTCCACAAGTTATGTGCTCGATGGGAGTGAACTTCCTCACGTGACTCATCAGGTTGATCTAGGTGTCCTCCACTGTTCCACACTACACTCTGGCGACAACTGGAAGAAGGCTGCTAGTAAAGGGTTCCGGATGTTGTGGTTTATATGTCGCTCTTTTGGGACCCTAACCGCTGATGTGTTTGTGAAGCTTTTCTCAGCGTTTGTGCGACCCCACCTAGAATATTGCGTCCAAGCCTGTCCACCATGCCTTGTCCGGGACAAGGCCGCGTCAGAGTCTATGGTGCCCTATCGGATAGCTTTTCGACTACAAGTGGCGTTCGTCAGGGTTGTCCGATTTCTCCGTTTTTGTTCAATTTCGTCGTGGATTCTATCATGGAGTGTTCCCTTGCGGAATTTCACGATGTAGGCGTTGAAGTATTGCCTGGTGAAAGGTTAGTTGATCTAGATTATGCGGACGATATCGTCCTGCTTTTCGACGATGTCGCGGCGGCACAATCAACCCTGAGTAGCCTGTCCAGAGTGGTCCCATTATTTGGTATGCACTTCGCACCTTCAAAGTGCAAAGTGTTGCTGCAGGACCACCAGTCACTCGATGACCGCTTGACGCTTGCTAACGAGGAACTCGAGGTGGTTGATCATTTCACTTACCTTGGCAGCTGCATCAGCAATGATGGGCGCATAGAAACTGACGTCAGCTCACGGATTGCAAAAACCAGAGCGATCTTCTTGAACCTGCGGCATCTTTGACGACAGAAGGGAGTTCCCTATGTCTGAAAGGCCGTGTATACAAGGCCACAGTGAGGGCCGTTCTGCTCTATGGTAGTGAGACTTGACCGCTTCGGTCTGAAGATCTGAGGCGCCTTCAAGTCTTTGCTCATCGTTGTTTGCGTAGCATTGCTGGTGTCGGATGGCACCAGCGTGTCCGCAACGATGATGTGCGTAGGCGAGTACTAGGTGGTGTTAATCATGCTAACTCTCTAGAACAACAGATAGCATTAAATAAGTTGCGTTGGCTCGGGCACGTGCTACGCATGCCTGGTCACCGCTTACCTAGGAGAACCTTGTTCAGTCTACCAGGTGTCGGATGGCGCAGGGCTTGAGGTGAACAGAAGTTGACTTGGCAGCGGGAAATGAAGTCACTGACGACCAAACTGGGTGCCGTTGGTCCGTCTCACCTTCCGGGTTGGAGTCCACGTGACTCACCTTGTGCTTGGCTCGAAACTTTACAGGACATGGCTCGCAACCGACACCAGTGGCGCGTCTGCTGCCGTCTCCTAATCGGATTGTCTGTTTAAAGTGTGTTTGGTGCTGAGTTATCTGCGGGGTAATGGCTGATTATGACGCGGGACAGTGAAAGCCGCAAGGAAACTGTCTCGCCGATGCCGCCTTATCTTTGCACGATAGCCGGCTGTTAGTGACGGAATGTTGTCTACACAAGGTGTAGGCGCCTTGACCCTGAATGTTTGATTAGGGCATTAAGGTTTTCAGGTAAGTCCCCCTTCTCTCCCTCTTCTTATTCTTTACTTCATAGGTCCTCATGTTTGTATGGCAGCGAAGCATCAGTTCAAATGGCTGATGTACTGCTGTTGTTGTTGTTGTTTTGTTTTCCGGGACAAAATGGCACTAGAAAGGGTGTTGCGTGTCGTTACTAGGTTGGTCAAGGGATTAGGAGGGCAAACGTACCCCGAACGCCTACTCAGTTTGGGGATGCAGTCAATGCAGTATCGAAGGACTAGAGGGGACCTAACCCTAACTTACCGTATTTTGACTGGGAAGGTTGGCCCTGATTTGCCCATGCTATTTAGTCCTGCTAGATTATCTGGTCTTCCTGGGCATTGTATGGAGCTGGACAAACCGCGGTCCGATCGAGTTAGAGCGGAGACACGGTTCTCACGTCGAGTCATTGAGTGCTGGAACCTGCTTCCAGAACATGTTGTCAAGGAATCTACGGTTAGGTGGTTTGAGCGTCAATTAGACTCTCTTAGGTGGCAACAAGAAACCTTTCCTTTTTCCTGACTAGTTATCATCTTCATACTTCGATTCTATTTTCTTTACTTTTCCTCGCCATTGGTATTATTCTCTTCTTTTAACTGATTTTCCCTACTCTCTTACCTTCGCTTTTTTTTCCTCTCTTACTTACTTCACGTAACTGAAATAACTGGGACAGCTAATGTAAGGAACGTGGGGATTAAATTGGTGGACCAGAGTGTTTTTTCGGGTGTTTTCCTTTTAGACCCATCAAAAAGTCGGAGCACCTTTATCAACTCTTGGATCGACGACCCGCTCAAGAAGGAACACTTACGGGATTCATCTTATCGTTCCAGTCCCACTTGAACTTGAACTTGAAAACGGATATTAAAGTAACTGGCTGGTTCAAGGTATTAAAGAGGTTAAACAGCCAGGAACAATAACTAATGCAGACTTAAACACATGTCCAAGCAAAGTAATACGAACACTCATGGAACCGTCCCCAAGGGACCTGCTTCCAGACAAGGTATTCCTTCGAAATTTTCGCCCTTACTTCTATGCTATCCCTGGCCGCGTGGCGGTGTGGCATAGTAGCCATATGAGCCATCACCTGTTTATCATATGTTGTTCTTTTTATGGCTGCTTTTATACATGTATTATGGGCGATGAAGCTTCAGCCTAGTTCATCATGCGGATCATTCACTTATGGCACTTTTTATACGCCAGTCAGTTGGTGACAATGTGCCTTGCATATGTAAAGTCTTTTTTAATCTAAAATCTATAATCCGTCAACACAGGAGATCAGTCCAGGCGTGGCCAACAATGAAATAAGTAAGAATGTAGAAGAAGAAGAAACAAAATAGTGTGAATGTGGTACCATATCGTTAATGTAAAAAATAAGCTGGTATGTTTTTTTACATCAGCGTAAAAATGGCTCGAGCCTATCATATGATCAAATTGTGCGGTGTGACAGGAGGCGACAGATAACTCTACAGGTTGTCCATAGGCAAAAATGAAGTAGGGAATCCGTTATTGCCATCAATGAATTCCAGTATGTTTCTGGACTGTTAACTCCAGTAAAGAAAATGAAGTGGTTAGCATTGCAGAGCAAATCTAGCAGAAGGACTCGCCGAACAATATCACGAATTAATCAATTTGTGGGGAGAATTACGAAATTAGTTCCCGGCCCCACACAAGTAACTAATGTGGCTCTCTGTTTTAGACAGAAGACAGTTGACATGAAATAAGTTTGAAAGGAGTACAACCGCATAGCAGTAGCATTAAAGAATAGCAAAAGAAACGGTTGTAACAGCTTATCCTAGATGATCTTGTTTGCTTTGGTGCATTTGTTTTATAGGCTTCCAGTCAAGTTCAAGTTCGGGTGTGACTACAACGATTGGAGAATCCCGAGAGTTTTTCATCTTGAGTAGATTGTTGAGCCAGGATGGATTGATGGATGGATTGATGGATCTAAAACGGAACACTCGTATTGCATCCTGGCCAACCAGTTAACGCCCACCTTTCCTATCCTAGCAGTCCCTGCTGTGGCAGCCGCGTGAAGTAAGCAAAGGATAGGAAGAGAAATCGAAGGTATAGAATAAGGAAGTTCACTTGAAATAAGAAAACAATATCAAGACATGAAGAAAAGTAGCGAAAAGGATATCAAGGTATGAAGATGCGGGTTAGTCAGGAAAAGGGAAAGGTTTCGTGTTGCCACCCAAGCGCCACAAGTTGCCGCTCAAATCACTTAACCGTAGGTTCCCTGATAACACTCCGAAGCATGTTCCAACGCTCGATGACTCGGCGTGACGGCCGGATTTCCGCCCTAATTTGACCGGACCGCGGTTTGTCCGGCTTCAAGGGATGACCGCGTAGAACAGACAATCCAGAGGGACTGAATAGCCAAGATAAATGTGGACCAATCTTCCCAGTTAATATTACGGTAGGTTAGGATTAGGTCTCAACCTCCGTTAGTTCATTGATTGCATACCCAAACCAAGTAGACACTCAGGGTATGTCCTTCCCAGTAATCCCTTAACTAACCTCGTACTCATCCGTAAAACCCTCTCTAACTCCATTTTGTCGCGGACGAGGCTAGGCAGACAAGCCTGGACGCAGTTTCACATGAGACCGAACGAAAGCAGAGAACAGTCTCGTAAACATGTCTCCCGCCAAGACTCCGCAAGAACTTCGTATTAACCATAACATGCGGAAACCTCTGTTTGCCGCCTTATTCCAGTTGTCGTCAGAGTGTAAAGCCCAAGAGTATACGACGCATATATCAATCTGGCTAGATACACAGGGGAGTTCGACCCCACCGAGCAAGTACTTAGCTGGAGGACAATTCAAAGAACGCAGCAATTTGTCTGATTTATGGGTAGTAACCATAAAGTAGACCAGTCCAAAAGCTTATCCAAGGCTCGCTGAATAGCTTCGAAACCCCCAGGAACATCGACAATGTTCCACAGCTTTAGGTCATCAGCAAATAGCAGCGATGGTGCCTCAAGCTCCGCGGGTAGGTCATTCACATAGATAGAGAACAGTTGCGGTCCAAGGACCGTGCCATGCGGCACGCCACTGAGGATAGATTGCCTAAACGTTGGGCCCCGGTTTACCCGTACACACTGTTCTCTACCATCCAAGGAGGCAGTCACTTAATGAAGGGCGCGACCAGATACCCCGTAGATCAGCTTGTGCGCGAGCCTCAAATGGAGTACCTTGTCAAATGCCTACGATAACTCGAGCTGGCTCTATGTCTAGTTAATAGACTGCTGAGATTACATTACATTACATTACGAAAACTCGACAAAAAGCACGTCCAGTGCGTGACCGTTATTCACTGCGTTCGCCCACCTTTCGCGAGCCACCAGTAGATTCGTCAGACACGAAAATCCCTTCCGGAATCCGCATTGTACATTGCTAAGTAGATTAAATCTATTCAGATGACTCTCCAGTGAATCTGTCACCAGTTTCTCAGGGAGTTGACTACTACACTCGTCAAACTAACTGGCCTGTAATTTCCAGGCAGACTGCTGTCCCATTATTGAAGATGGGACAGATGACAGCTTCCTTCCGTTCGGAAGGTAATGCGATTTTTGAAACATCATAGTGTGCGCTCCACTTAGTTCCGCAGCCAACTCATGCACCATCATCATCATCATAATCAGTACATCCGCCGTTTGAACTGATACTTCGTTGCCGTACAACCATGAGGACCTTAATGCCCTAATCAAACATTCAGGGTCAAGGCGCCTACACCTTGTGTAGACAACATTCCGTCACTAACAGCTGGCTGTCGTGCAAAGATAAGGCGGCATCGGCGAGACAGTTTCCTTGCGGCTTTCACTGTCCCGCGTCATAATCAGCCATTACCCCGCAGATAACTCAGCACCAAACACACTTTAAACAGACAATCCGATTAGGAGACGGCAGCAGACGCGCCACTGGTGTCGGTTGCGAGCCATGTCCTGTAAAGTCTCGAGCCAAGCACAAGGCGAGTCACGTGGACTCCAGTCCGGAAGGCGAGAAGGACCAACGGCACCCAGTTTGGTCGTCAGTGACTTCATTTGCCGCTGCCAAGTCAACCTCTGTCCACGTCGAGCCTTGCGCCACCCTACACCTGGCAGACTAAACAAAACCCTCCTAGGTAAGCGGTGACGAGACATACGTTGCACGTGCCCGAGCCAACGCAACTTATTCAGTGCTGTCTGTTGTTCTAGGGAGTTAGCATGATTATCACTTCCTAGTACTCGCCTACGCACATCATCGTTGCGGACACGCTGGTGCCATCCGACACCAGCAATGCTACGCAGACAACGATGGTCAAAGACTTGAAGGCGCCTCAGATCTTCAGACCGAAGCGGTCAAGTCTCACTACCATAGAGCAGAACGGCCCTCACTGTGGCCTTGTATACACGGCCTTTCAGAAGAAGGGAAACTCCCTTCTGTCGCCAAAGGTGCCGCAGGTTCAAGAAGATCGCTCTGGTTTTTGCAATCCGTGAGCTGACGTCAGTTTCTATGCGCCCCTCTTTGTTGATGCAGCTGCCAAGGTAAGTGAAATGATCAACCACCTCGAGTTCCTCGTTAGCAAGCGTCAAGCGGTCATCAAGTGGCTGGTAGTCCTGAAGCAACACTTTGCACTTTGAAGGTGCGAAGTGCATACCAAATAATGGGACCACTCTGGATAGGCTATTCAGGGTTGATTGTGCCGCCGCGACATCGTCGAAAAGCAGGACGATATCGTCCGCATAATCTAGATCAACTAACCTTTCACCAGGCAATACTTCAACGCCTACATCGTGTGATTTCGTAAGGGAACACTCCATGATAGAATCCACGACGAAATTGAACAAAAACGGGGAAATCGGACAACCCTGACGAACGCCACTTGTAGTCGAAAAGCTATCCGATAGGGCACCGTAGACCCTGGCGCGGCCTATAGTGTTCGAGGATAGAGCACGAAGGATGTTCACATATTTCGTGGGAGCACCTTTCCGCTCAAGTATTTCGAACAGAATCGATCGATCGACTGAATCGAACGCACTCTTGAAATCGAGGAGCGCAGCTGTTCTCAGTCTGCGGTATGCGTGGCGCTGCTCTAGCACCTGCCGCAAAGTGAATATATGGTCTATACAGCTACGTCCTGGGCGGAAACCCGCCTGCTCTTCCCTACTCCGAGATTCCCGTTCCGCAGTAAGGCGACGAACTAGAATCGACGCGAATAATTTTGTCACAACTGGCGTCAGGCTAATACCCCCGTGGTTAGAACAGTTTGTGCGACTGCCATTCTTGCATATTGCCACTATAATCGATTCGCTTCACTTAGCCGGGACGCTCTCTTCCTTCCAGATACATTCGAATAGGGAGGTCAGTGCTTTGCAGAGGACCTCACCTCCATCCTTAAACAGTGCAGGTGGGAGGGAATCCGGGCCAGCGGCACGAAAACAATTGAGGGCTGTGATCGCGTTTCGGACCTCGGCCTCTAACGGAGGCTCTAAACTAACCGTCCATGATTCGTCCTGCATCACTTGGGAGCAGGGTACCTGCAGAACTTATCTTGAAAGTGTTCTACCCAACGAGCCACACGGCGCTCCTTATTGTGAATCAGCGCACCCGCGCTGTCCCTGTTTGTCTCACTGACGCCTGGTTTCCTCGGACCAGTGGTGCGGATTAGCTGGAAGAGCTTCCGGTAATTGCCTACTGCTCCTGCTTCCTCCATTTCCTGAGCCCGACTGGTCCACCAGGCTTCCTTGTCAGCACGTAGGCTCCGCTTTAGTTCACCCCTAATAGCCCGTCTGGTCACATTGTGTTCAGAACCAGCCGGGAGGTGCCTTCTAGCTTCCAAAAGGTTCACGGACCTCGGATATCCAGTGACTGGTGCGATGACGACTGATAGTGCCACAAGCAGATGCTCCTGCGTCGTGCATGGCAGTCGAGATCCTATTCCACTGAAGTTCAGTATCATTAGGACAAGACAGCGAGAGTTGGTTATGCAGTGCTTCTTGATAGGCTTGCCTGACAGAGGGC